AAAAAAATTGTTTTTCATGAACTTTCTGATTTCATTACCGTCTTCAGAATTATACACACCTACATGTGGTGCTATTAGCTTATTATTTGGAGTTGGTTAAGGTACTGCACTACAAAAATTTCCGAAGAATTAGAGCGTAATATTCGATAACATCTCATCGGCACTAGCTCGTCAGTGGATACAATTTTTGTCACGGAGCGACTTATCTAAAGAAGGAGAGCATAAAAGTATTGTGGAGAGTTTTAGTTGTTTGAAATATACAATATATTATGTAGCTGTTTAAAATGCGGCAAAAAATGTTAGTGCCGGGAGACTGTTTCCGATTTGCTACCGCAGAACACACTGTTAACATTGGTGGTGGAATGTTAGATTATGTTAGAGAATGTTAGATGTTAATTTATTACGGGGATTGAGAACTTTCACGAAAGGTGCATATCTGATATGAATTGAATTTGTTTCTCATACATGTACAAGTTATTTCACTTCATTTTTATTGCCATATTAAGGCAAACGAATAAGTGTATGTAGTTTCCTCATATAGTAAATTTAAGTAATAAGTGTGTATCTTACATTTTATCAATACATCACAAAGGACAAAGAAGTACAACAAAACAAGAAACACGGTTAAACAAAAGCAAGAAACTCTATGCTATATACTGTACTTCCTAACGGGAGTAAGCGAGATAACAGGTTCGCCTCCAGATGAAGGAACACATGCACCAGTAAAGCAGTGTGCTTGACGTTTATCACTGAGATTTTTTCGGCCTCTGCAGACATTCAGGCTGTCTGGTACTATTCACTTTTTCAGATCTTCCTTCTTTTAAATACGTTACTCTCACACACATTTACACTTAACTCAAAATAGGATAAGTCAGATGCCCAGGGAAAGGAGCGTCACGTACTCAAAAGTGTAATGCGGATCTCGGGCGTTGCAGACCGAAAAGCGTCTACAGTGAAGGAAAGTAGGAGGGCTCTCAGATTCCTCTCGGTAGTGTTCAGCACGTACTATGTACACATGCATAAACATTTTCATGAGTACTTTAGCATTAATATTTAGACGTATAAGTTGCTACAGATCATAATATTTTTTATCGTGCAGGACCTGCAATGGCAAACTCTTACTTCCGTACATAACATTATCAAGACCGCAAGAAGTTCAGATCATCATATACTAAATGATGCAATTTGACTGATATATTGGGTACTTGATCACAGTTGTTCAAAATTAATTATGTTTAAAAAATGGTCAGAGGATTAATTTCATTAGCAACTACAGATAAATTTTGCTGTTTTTGCGAGCCCTCATTTTTAACTTTCCATCACTTCTAAAAAACCGATCTAATCGACGACTGCTCAGCACTTTTTGAAGTTATGTCGCGTTACGTTGATTTAGAAGAGTAGATGTATGTCATCAGTACAGAATTTAGCTGCAGGGTGCGGAGACATGAGAGCTCTGATCTACATTAGAAATGACTCTCTTTACTTATGAAAGATAATCAATACCTGCGAATAAATCAATGAAGTTAATAATGTATATATGTGTCAATAGGTCGCTATAGTATATTATTTGGACAAACCCATTCACCTGACTACACTAGTATTTCTATGTGCAAACCCTGTATTAATTTCATGAAAATATTTTTGCTCTGTTAAACTTTTTAATAGTAGATATAGTATATAATTTTTAAAGCACTGGTCTCTTCAACGTTTTGAAACAAACGTCATTTTTCGTAACTATGAATGCATTTAATTATTCTTTGGAAAAATACTAATATGTAAGTCAGTATGTATAGTTATTTTAATTTATTATTTATTTTCAAGAGCAAGTTGAAAGCCAAATAATATTTCCAGTAATCGTGCAATGTTATCACACAAGACAGAAAGAATTCAATTAATCGTGAAAAAAGTAATCACATGTCTTAATATGTTCACATGTTTATAATCAAAAACAGGAAAGTATCATCACATAAATAAATTACATGCATTACTGAACTATTCACAATCACAGATATATTTATGTATGAAAGTGATTAAAATAAATAAACCACCTGCCATCAAACGTAAACGTTTTATCAAATAATTATCATCAATAATGTAATAAAATGACAATAATAATAATAATAATAATAATAATAATAATAATAATAATAATAATTAAAAAACAGGTAAGCCTTTATCTCGATATTGTCAGTAACTCACAAGATAACTTTTGAAACGGAATTATTTAATAGTGTTCTTTATTTTTGCACATCACAAGTCAAAGTGGAGAAAATAATTACATTACGCCACAAAAAAACTCTTTCGAGTAGTAACGTTTACGGAATGTTTCTCAAGAAATAGTGTCAGTGTCAGGAAATGTTTATGTCTGGGATATTTTCACGCGAATCACGCAACATGACTCTATCTGGTTGGCTTTCAAAGATTCTGCGCCTGAGGGACAACGTCCCGCAAGCTCAAACCGGAAACTTGGCTGCGTTTCAACGAATTCCCAGAATCAGATGTACTCGGCGGTGGCCAACCTAGGCCTCGTGGACAGCGCTGTGATCAGCGGCGGAAGCCCTACTGAAACATTTTCAAGAAACATTGACTAGTATTTTGCGTACACATGCCTTCACTCATATGATTGTAGCACCTGTAATATGAGTAATTTAGAAATATTCTGTACACTTATACCGATATATTATATTTCTTCTTATGATTTCCGACGAGTTTCCGATTATTTTCCATATAATGTGCATTTTTTCGGAAGAGTTTTTTCACTACTTGGTCAATTATTTTTTAATTAAATTTCAGTTTTCTCCAACCATTTATTGAAGTGTATCATCGAATGTTGTTATTTTATTACACATATTATCCACTATTTTGCAAACGAAAAGGAACATACACGTAACTATGTTCATCGAGAAACTTCAAAATCACTTAAGGAAAGAAATTGAGTAATACTTACTATTGTTATGCAAGTACAATAACATGTGAAAATATGTTTATACTGGTACTTGTGAAAACGTTTGCTCTTCAAAACGGAAAAATTAGAAACCGCATCATATTTTGCGATAGCGTTATTAGATAACTAAATTTAAAGGAATCATTTAAGTCAGTTTCAGTATAGATATTGCGATTAATTATTCGGCCCTCAGGACATTCGTTCACTAATTTCACACGAGAAGAGTTGAATATGATGATTCCCTTCTCGATGCTACCAAGAATCTTAGTGAAGAAAGTCAATCAGATTCTCGCATTTATTTGCAAGAGCCATTGTCAAGTACACTTCGAAAATAAAGGTATTTTAAATTTTCTCACACACTTTTTGGTTACATTTTAACCAAAACTGTAAATCGGTTTTCATTTTCCCCTTTCTAAATATTTACGTTTATACAACGTTTAAATCAGTGTAATCAGAAGAACTATAACTTTGTCAACGCACAGTTAACCAGTCAATAAATAAAAATTTCCACAATGAAACTGCACTGCCAGATCTGTAAGAGTACTTTATATAAGTAATATCCAAAGAAAAAAAACTTTGTATTTAATAAAGGTAGATTTTATCAGTTTACTAGAAATGTTACGTAAGAATAAACCTTTTTAAAAGAATTAGAAGTACACTGGTCACTAAAAAGACCGAGGAAGTGAAAAGAACTAAAGGATTCCTCGGCTGTCGTTCCTTCTCCACCCGTCATTTCCGTCAGCTGTGTTTAACAACACACTTCCAGGAGGAGAAACCGATTGAGCTCTTCATTCACAGAAGCGATCGGGTCAGTGTGTCGCCCACCGTGAGTGCCACTGGACAGCCGGAAGTCGTTTGGCCCTGGGAGGCGCGTAGCGCGCGCGGTGGCGGCTGCCAGGAGGCCGATGGGTGCCCGCCGCCCTCCGCGCCCCCCGCGCGGTGCTGCTAAAAATACGAGGGGGATTCTTTTTGCGCGAAAACAGGGCCCGCGTGGGCGGCCGGGTGGGGGCGGCCCCGCC